AAGACAGATATTGCACGGTATCACTTATACATGGAAGACAAAAAAGTGAACTCATAGAAACAGTACAAAAGTGGCTGCCAAAAGTGAGGGGAAGCAGGAGAAACAAAGGGGTTTGTAAAAGGATGCAAACATGCTGTTATAAGTTGAATAAGTGGTGACTATCATTGATAACACCGCATTGTAGAATTGATAATTGCTAAAAGAGTAGAACTTAAATGTCCTTACCTAAAAAAGGGGGTGGGGGGATATATATAACAAAATATATATATTGCATATAGCCAAAAAGTGGAAGTAACTCTAATGTTTATCAACTAATAGATGTATAAGTAAAATGAATAAATATTATACATCAGTAAAAATAATATAAAATACTGAATGAAACTTGACACATCATATTAAGTGAAAGAAGACAGTCACAAAAGAACATATACTTTATGGTTACCTTTAAATGAAATAACCAAAATAGGCAAAACTATAGAAAGTTAATTAGTAGTTGCCTAGGGCTGGTAGGGGAAGTTGGGGGAATGGAGAATGACTGCCAGTGAGTATAAAGTTTCTTCTGGGAATGATGAAAAAGTTTTAAAGGTGACTTATGGCTATAATGGTTATATATATATGGCTATATGGTTACACTAACTCTGTGAATACACTAAGAATGATAAATTTGTGTAGTTTAAAAGTGTAAATTGTATGGTATATTAATCATACCTTAATAAACCTGTTAAAAAATAACTTGGAACAAAATATTAACAAATTAACCAATTTATGATAAAAACTTTCAGTAAACTAGAAATAGAAGGGAAGTTCTTAAACTTGATAAAGACTATATATACAAAAAGCCTGCAGCTATTATACTTAATGATGAGAAACTTAAAGGTGTCTCACCAAGATCAGGAACAAGGCAAAGATGTCACTTTCACTACTCCTTTTCACTATCATACTGGAAGTACTAGCTAATGCAATAAGACAAGAAAGAGGGAGAAAGTATACAGATTAGGAAGGAAAAAATAAAACTGTCCTTATTCACAGATAACATGGTATCCATGTAGAAAATCTGAAAGAATTGACCAAAACAATTAGACTAATCAGCAATTATATCAAGGTTGCCAAATACAAGGTTAATATACAAAAGTCAATAGCTTTCCCACATATCAGCAATGAACAAGTGGAATTTGAAATTAAAAACACAATACCATTTATATTAGCACCCCCCAAAATGAAATACTTAGGTATAAATCTAACAAAATATGTACAAGATCCATATGAGGAAAACCTAAACTTTAATAAACAAAATCAAGAACTAAATAAAAGCAGACATATTCCATGTTCATAATTAAGGAAACTCAATATTATTAAAATGTCAGTTCTTTCCAACTTGATATATATTTTCAATGTAATCCCAATCAAAATTCCAGTAAGTTATTTTGTGGATATCGACAAAATGATTCTAAAGTTTACATGTAGAGGCAAAAGACGTATAATGGCCAACACAGTATTGAAAAAGAACAGAGCTGGAGAACTGATACTACCCAACTTCAAGACGTAAACAGGAATCAAGACAGTGTGCTAAGGGTGAAAGAATAGACAAACAGGTCAGTGGAACAGAATAGAAAGTCTGTAATAAATGTAGTCAACTAATCTTTGACAAAAGAGCAAAGGCAATACCATAGAGCAAAAATTGTCTTTTCAGCAAATGGTGTTGGGACAACTGGATATCCACATGCAAAAATTAAAAACAAAAAACTAGACACAGAACATTACACCCCTCACAAAAATTAAGTCAAAATGGATCACAGGCCTAAATGTAAAACACAAAATTATAAAACTCCTGAAGATAATATAGGAGAAAAACTTAGATGACATTGGATATGGCAAAGATTTTTTAGATACAACTACAAAGATACAATCCAAGAAAAAAAACCTGATAGGCTGGACTTCATTAAAATTTAAGACTTCTGCTCTGCAAAAGACAATGTTGAGAAAATGAGAAGACAAGCCACAGACTGGGAGAAAATGTTTGCAAAAGACACATCTGATAAAGGACTTACCTAAAATATACAAAGAACTCTTACAATTCAACAATAAGAAAACAAGCCAATCTAAAAATGGGCCAAAGACCTTAAAAGGCACTCCACAAAAAATATACGGATGGAAAATTAGCACATGAAAGGGTGCTTCATACTATATGTCATCAGGAAAATGCAAATTGAAGTAATGAGACACCACCTATTAGAATGGCCAAAATTAGTAACACTAAATGGTGGCAAGGATGTGAAGCAACAGGAACTCTCCTTCATTGCTGGTAGGAACGTGAAATGGTACAGCCACTTTGGAAGATAATTCGGGGGTTTCTTACAAAACTAAACATACCAGCTATTGCTCTCCCTGGTATTTAACAAAAGGAGTTGAGAACATATATCCACATAAAAGCCTGCAGTTATAAACATGCTATAAACATTTATAATTATTTACTTATAATTGCCAAAACATGGAAGCAACCAAGATGTCTTTCAGTGGGTGAATGGATAAATAAAACTGTTGTGCACGCAAAGGAATTTTATTCAGCACTAAAAGGAATGGAGCCATCAAGCCATGAAAAAACATGGAGGAAACTTAAATGCATATTATGAAGTGAAAGAAACTGAAAAGGCTACCTACTGTGGGATTCCACTATATAACATTCTGGTAAAGGCAAAACTATGAAGAAACTAAAAAGATCATTGGTAGCCAAGGTTTGGGGAGCTGGGGATGAATAGGTGAAGCACAGAGGATTTTTAAGACAGTGAAAATACTCTGTGTGGTATAAAATGGGTTTATGTCAATAGAAATTTGTCCAAACCCATAGCATGTAGAATACCAAGAATATAGTTCCCTGGTGAGGGAATGATAATGGGGGAGGCTATGCATGTGTGGGAGCAGAGGATATATGGGAAATCTCTATACTTTCTTCTTAATTTGCTATGAACCTAAAAGTGCTCTAAAAAAGTAATCTTAAAAAAAAAGAACTTGGTGCTTTGTGTCACTCTCAGAATAGATAGGAAATTAAATTTCAACCTGGAATTAAATAATGATTTCCTTTTATGATGTAGGAGTTTATGTCGCTCAATTGATTTTTCAGGAAAGTGAGAGGAGAATTTTCTGACTCATATTAAAATTACATGAACTACATGTAATTGTAGTACAACAAGGTTTTATTAAATAATAACTATTATTAAAATAAGTCAGGGGCTGTGCTTTGTGTTTTGTATGTGATATTCACCGCACCTCTGAGTTAGATTATTCTATTCTCATTGTACAGATAAGAAAACTGAGGCATTCCTTAGTTTTCAGATGGTCCATTAAATTTCCTACCATGCAGAAATTCTGCATTGATGAGAACTGTGATACCAGGCAACTTCATTTCTAATAGGTAAAAGAGCCACCTCTTTAAATTTAGTGTAATCCTTTCTAGGCCAAAAGAATTTATGTTTTGAATTCTACTGAAAGGCTTTGAGAGTCCTAATAGAGGAGAGGTAGGTAGGGTACATGATAGAAGAGGCAGATTTCATCTCATAGTGCCCTGTCTAGGAAGATGGATTGGAAACATAAAGAGCTAATAACACCAAAGATTTTCTTTGCTAGGTTATCTTTTATACATTAATTATACAGAAGAGCCTGCTTAAATGGATACTCTTGCTATAGAATGTTTCTTTTAAGAGAGGGTTCTTTTCCTTACTCTGCACTTCAGTTGGGAGATATTATCAGAGAGTTATCAGGGAGATAAGTTGATATAAAGACAAAGTTTATTTCATTTGTAGTAGAAGCTTCTTCATTTAACTGACCAGTGAATCATCGTTGTATAGGATACTGCGTCACTGTGATACAGTCAGATCACCCCGTATTTAACCCATGCTATAGTTTTAAATCAGCTATCCGTGAAAACTGCTGTAACTTTGCAAATTTTAAGATAACTCTTATTTATGCATCTACCACACTGTATAAGGTAATACGGCTCAATAGTCTTTTGCTAGATATTCATTTTAATAGCATTCATAAATAAATGTTACCTAGTGTATAAAGCCAACTCGAGAATCTTTCATGTTTCTCTATAACTCCTTTGGAGACAGCTATCCCCAAATAACTATGTAGAGCAATATGCATTATTTTTCAAACTTAAAATATTTTTATTTTATTTTTCTCTAATGTTTAGGTACTGTTTGTCTGGTCTTATTGGTGCACACATCTTGCATGGATGACAACTGAATTTTTTCCTTTAAAAAATGTTATTTTTAAATCAAGATGAGAAGAATAAGCAATCAAGGGATTGAGCTGCATACCAGTGCCGTGCCTGGCTTGTTATTCATATGATTTCATTTAATCTTTCCAACTGGGAGCTAAAATAGTCCTGTTTTCAGTCAGTTGCCAACAACTTCCTTTCTATTTGCTCTAAATATAATGAAAGAATGGGAAAATCTAGTTATTTTCTGTTTTGCGTGTATTTTTTTCTCTCTTTCTTACAGCTTCCCTAAACTTGTTTCTTGTTTATGCAAACAAGTCCTCTTTTTCCTGAGTAATTGTTTTTCACCTTTCAAGTTATTACACAGCTTTTATCCAATCCTAGCTTTTGCTGTCCTTCTGTCCACGTGCACAGCTGGTGCATCAGTCACAATTATGGAAAGTGAATTCTGTTCTCTTGGTAGTCATTGCTGTTACCTAATTTGACGCAGGTCCCTTTTGTTACTTAAAGTTTTTGAAATCAGTCTTTCTGGAAGTTCATTTGGTTGGTTCTCTTCTATCCTTTGTTTGTTCTCCTTCATCACTTCCAGCTAGATTTTCCTTTCCTTTCAATGTCAAACAAATTCTTACATTTCATGGTCAGCAAATTTGATGCTTGTATTCATTGGATCCAGTAAAATAAATTCCAAGGTTTTCCTTAATGCTACACACACACACATACATGCCCGCACGCACACATGCTACATTAAAATAAATCAATGTAAACCATTGTGATTCTCTTTCAGAAACATGATGGCCATTTCACTGTCATCCAGTTGGTCGGTATGCTCCGAGGCATTGCGTCAGGAATGAAGTATCTTTCTGATATGGGTTACGTTCATCGTGATCTAGCAGCTAGGAATATATTGGTCAACAGCAACTTAGTATGCAAAGTTTCTGATTTTGGTCTCTCCCGGGTGCTGGAAGATGATCCAGAAGCTGCTTATACAACAACTGTAAGTTTACATGTCCTTTTCCAATATAGATTGTTTACTTGTATTGTTTTTAATATTATAAGAATAATTCTGTTTTTGTTTTCCTAATTTTCTGCTCACACTTGTCATTTTCCAAATTTAACATCATCATTTAGTTGAGAAGTATTTGCTTTATCTGAGTGCCTGGTCAAAAAAACAAAACAACAACAAAAACCTTCATATATTTGACTGTTTTCTTTCTTCCATTGTATTGGGACTTTCATATCATGCTTGAGGTCCAAGTCTTGATTGCCCTCACAACAAATCTGCCTTTGCCTGAGGTATTCTTGATGTTTAATAATTATCTCTTTTAAATGGAGTTCTGTATAGGCCAATGGTGAGTCAATTAAGTCAGTGCTAGTGAGAACCAATGGTTATGAAATGACTTTTCTTTTTTTCCTCACAGCAAATGTTATGGAATGACCTGATCATACTTGCAAATAAACAAGATAGGTTTCTCTGGAGATATATAAGTACACTCTAAACTTTTTTTCTGAATGACACTTGGGGAGAATGTGAGCAGGAATAAAAGGCTAAAACTTTAGAACCACACTATCATCTGTAGATTATAGATCTAAACTTAACTCATGAATAGTTTAAGCATTTCTGAATTCCCCAAAACCAGTTCATTCCATTGACCTTTTTGGTTATTGTTTCAAGGATTTCAGTCTCAGAGTCTTTCTTCAGCTATCTGAAAGCTAATAATTTGTAAAACTACACAATATTCTGTTATTTTTCCAACAAAACCTTCACCATTGACTCATTTGACAGTCACCTTCAATGAAAAGTAAATCAGTAAAATGATTCAAGAGGAGAGGTTTTTATCCTCTCCTCTTTCTCTAACCTTACACATTATTGTAGAAGAGGCAAATCCATTATTTAGTTCCCTTTTATTTCATTTTCTATCAGATTGTTTTGAAACTTCACTGTATTCAATTACTCCAAAAGAGATGCAAGTTTAATATTATGAATGAAACATATTATGCCCTTACTATATTTGCACTGAGGAAATGCTCTATATTACTTTATTGATGATATTTTCACTAATTTTTTCCAACAAAGAAATATAGTGCTAAGGAAAATCAATCTCTGAGAGCCTGACATATAAGGTAGCAGTATCTATTGATCTTTTAATTTGACCAAAAACCTTCATAAAAATAAAAGTCTATCATGCCTGAAAATAGTATTTATATATATATATATATATATAATAATAGGAAAAGCAGTATTTCCAACTCCACAATAAGATATCATCTCACACTTGTCAGAATGGCTAAAATCAGAAACACAAGAAACAACAGGTGTTGGCAAAGATGTAGAGAAAAAGAAACCCTTGTGCACTGTTGGTGGGAATGCAAATTGGTGTAGCCACTTAAAAATAGAAATACCATATGATCCAGTAATTCCACTACTGGGTATTTACCCAAAGAATATGAAAACACTAATTCGAAAAGATATATGTACCCTTGTGTTTATTGTAGCCTTAATTAAAATAACCAAGAAGTAACTCAAGTGTCCAATGGTAGATGAATGGATAAAAAAGGTGTGGTATAAACATACAATGAAATATTACTCAGCCATAAAAAATAATGAAATCTTGCCATTTGCAACAACATGCAATATTCTTCAAAATTTGGGTTACCCTGCCAGTTTGTTTTTTTTTTTTTAAAGATTTTATTTATTTATTTGACAGAGACAGAGATAGCGAGAGCAGGAACACAAGCCAGTGGGAGTGGGAGAGGGAGAAGCAGGCTTCCCCTCGAGGGGGGAGCCCGATGTGGGACTCGATCCCAGGACCCCGGGATCATGACCTGAGCCAAAGGCAGACGCTTAACGACTGAGCCACCCAGGCACCCGCCAGTTTTATTAGTATCTTAAATTTATTTATGAGCTTCCCATTTTAAAAAGCAGTTAAAATATTATTTAATAGGAATTTCAAGTATATCATCTACACAAAGAGTGTAGTAGTTATTTCCTATTTTATGCTTTATTTCATATTATTTTGTTCTTTTAGTAGACCATATTTGTTGGAATTTTTATAAATATTATATTGCATATAATTTATATAATAATTTTAAACACTATTCCCCAAGGTTGGAAATAATATGCATAATAGAAAAATCTTATCTACATTGTCTGTAACTTGAAAAGTTGCTTCAAGTTATACATTTATAAAAAGAAAAAAGAAAAGAAAAGAAGGCCTTGAAAAAAATGAAAAAAAAATTATACATTTGCGTACATCTGATGATGAGTGATGCTAAGCATCTTTTCATGTGTCTGTTGGCCATTTGTCTTCTTTGGAAAAATATCTGTTCACGTCTTCTGCCCATTATTTGTGTTTTTTTTGGTGTTGAGTCATTTAGTTCTTTACATTTTGGAAATTAACCCTTTATCAGATATGTCATTTGCAAATATCTTCTCCCATTCAGTAGGTTGTCTTTTTGTTTACTGATTATTTCCTTTACTGTGCAAAAGCTTTTTATTCTGATATAGTTCAGATAGTTTAATTTTACTTTTGTTTCCCTTGCCTTGGGAGACATATCTAGAAAAATGTTGCTACTGCCAATGCCAAAGAATTATTACCTGTGATCTCTTCTAGGATTTTTATGGTTTCAGGTCTCACATTTAAGTCTTTCATCCATTTTGAGTTTATTTTGTGTAAGGTATAAGAAAGTGATCCAGTTTCACTCTTTTGCATGTAGCTGTCCAACTTTCCCAACACCACTGTTGAAGAGACTGTAATTAAGAACTTTTTAAAAAATACATCAGAAATACTTAACTGTTCAAAGGCTCCCAGGGTACAAAACATCATACTTGACTTAATAATGAATATGACCATTTAATATTTGAAACAGCAACACTCTTACCTTCAAAGAGCTATTCTTTTACAGGGTGGATTCATGCTTTCTAGCTATCCAACACATTAAATATTGACATACAGGCCTGAAAAAGAAATATGGAAGTACCAAAAAGCAGAGGTCTGGAGAAGACTTAACAAAAAGTTAAAATTTGGACCAAATATTTAAAAATTTCATTAGATAGACTGTTAGGGAATTTAGATAGAGGAAAGAGAAAAAGGAAAGATATGGAAATTTGGGGAAGTGAATGGACATGTTGATGGAAATGTGGACAGTTTGGAATGGTGGGGGAGGAACAGTGGACAACCCAGGTTTCTAAGGAATAATTGCAAAGTTAGTTGGGTGGCACTTCAAGAAATTTGAAGGTTTTCTATGGCAATTAAGAGACAGACATTGATTTATTTAAATGGGGGAATGACCAAACACATGCATGTCTTAGAAGATATTATTGACAACAGTGTGAAGGAGGGAAGGATTGAAGGACAGGAGGAATGGTTATAGGAAACCAGTTAAGGCATTATTGTTATAGACCAGAAAGGCCATATGGCTTTAATTAGGACAGTGGCAATTGGAATAAAGAGGAAGGTAGAGAATTGAAAAATACATATAAATATACAATTTACAAGACTCAGTAACTAATTCGATATGAATTATAAGAAGGAAGAAGGATTTAAAGATGGCACCAATATTTTTAGATTGAACAACTAGTTGAATGAGATGCTATTAATCAATTCAGAGGATCCCTGTTAGAGATGGTCTGGCTAATGGCATTAGATTACAAAGCAAAATTATAACAAAGGGTCACAGGCAGTCTGTTTCAAAGTCATCAAGATAATGGCAGATTGAACATTGGCATTCTGTTGCAATTGTGTGTAAAATGTTTAGGACTTTGTATAAAATGTACTTAGGCTCCAAATTCTTTTTGTATTTCCTTTAAAAGAAGGAGATGTTAGAAAACTTTACTGCCTGTGAAGGCGTACTTCAATTCAAACAAACCCTGTATAACAAAATACAGGAAAAGAATAGTCATTTATATGAAATTATTCTGTTTTATAAAACCATTTACATGAAAATAACTTTAAAGAGCAAGCTCCCTTGATACATTTTTAAAGTATAATTTTCTTTTTAAAGTGTTATCTATATATAACTTTCTTAGAATATATCTTCTATCTTAAATGATTTTGATTTTTTCTCTTACTGTGTAAATATAATTGTTACTTCCTCATTATTTATAAATGTTTTTATAATCTGCATCAGGAAGGGTTTGGAGGAAAGGGAACCTTGTGAAGGGTTTTAAAAGCAGGAAGACATCATGGATAAAGATTTGTTTGTAGTCTTTAAAAAAATAATTCTTAGAGTAAAAGCACACTACATGGAAACTATCCCTTCCTAATCAAAATAGGAGCAGAATAAATACACATTTTCCAGTAAGATGACTTTGCCAATTTATTTATTTATTTTTAAAAATTTTATTTATTTATTTGACAGAGAGAGACACAGTGAGAGAGGGAACACAAGCAGGGGGAGTGGGAGAGGGAGAAGCAGGCTTCCTGCCGAGCAGGGAGTCCAATGCGGGGCTCGATCCCAGGACCCTGGTATCATGACCTGAGCCGAAGGCAGAGGCTTAATGACTGAGCCACCCAGGCTCCCCAAGAACATATTATTTACATTATAAAATACACTAAAGTAAATAGAAGAATGAGATTTATGATAAATATAAGTAGAAATTCTAGTATGTCTTCCTACAACTTACGAGTGTTTTACATGTTCTGTTTCAGATCTAAGACCTATTCATTCAGCATGTACTCAATAGAGTTTATTATGGAGTTACCATATTTAAGGTCCATATTGGTTTCCTTGGAGAGCCAATAACGAAAAATAAAGGGATTCTTGAGAATGGATAAATGACCACACAGAGAGAGGTCCAAGAGCAACCAAATACAGTAAAACATGATAAAACCACTAGGTGTGTGGACAGCACAAGTGGGCAATGCAGCATGAAAAGCAACACTAATAGTAGCAGATTTTTCTGGTAAGCCCTGTACTAAAGTACATCAAGCCTTTACAAAGGGACCTTAAGAACTAGTAACAGCATGAAAACCAAGAAATGTACGTGGAGGCTAA